AACGAATTCTCTTACAAATATAATACAAATAATAATATTTATTATTAGATAATACATATATATTATATATGTATAACATATATATTTATAATATATATAATATATATATACATATATATATATATATATATATATATATATATATATATATATATATATATATATATATATACATATACATTATATATATTTATTATAAATGTATAATATGTATATATATACACATATATATGTATATATATATATATATATATATATATATATATTATATAAATATATACATATATATATATATATATATATATATATATATATATATATATATATATATATATATTATTATATATATACAAATATGTTTACACATATCTTGCATATATATATATATATATATATATATATATATATATATATATATATATATAAGCCTCGGCGGGAATAAATGAGTACGAGAGCGGAGAAAAGCTCTCCTAAAACGAACTTGGGGAGCTGTGCGAGCTGCTCCTCATTTAAATTGGCACAATAAAAAACACAATAATTTTTTTAAAATGACATTGTCTTTTTTATTTTATTAAAAATGATAATTATACTTTTATGAGAAAAACTATACATTAGCCAGAGCCGTAAATAGCTCTCGTAAACCATTTCAGGGTAGCGTAAGCAAGAAGCAAGAGCTAAAGCTCTCGCTTCCCGCCAAGACCTATATATATATATATATATATATATATATATATATATATATATATATATATATATATATATATATATATATATATATATATATATATATATATATATATATATATATATATATATATATATATATATATATATATATATATATATATATATATATATATATATATTTTATTTATTTTACTTCACCTCCTCAAGGCCGAGAAGGCCACTACAAACGAGGAGGCTACTTATTTTGTGGCTATAACCCTCTCTCAACTCTATAACTCCGAAACACGAACCTTGACGAACAAGGTCGCTGCGCGGAGAAACGAGTTGAGCGCGGTACTACCAGGGACGTGGTGGGGATCGAACTCAGAACCACTCGTTTATGAAGCGAGCGCTCTACCACTACACCACTACCGCATTATATATATATATATACATATACATACATATATATATATATATATATATATATATACATATATATATATATATATATATATATATATATATATATATATATACATATATATATATATATATATATATATATATATATATATATATATATATATATATATATATATATATATATATGTATATATATATATATATATATATATATATATATATATATATATATATATATATATATATATATATATATATATATATATATATATATATATATATATATATATATATATATATATATATATATATATATATATATATATACATATATTAGGTTGACCGGAAAGTAATGTCGTATTTTTACGTCAAATTAAAACAAATAATTTTATTATAATATTTATTTTTAATCAATGATATAATCACCCTCATTTTCCGCAACCTTTTGCCATCGAGCGGGCAAACTTTCTATACCAGATCGAAAAAAATGTATTGGTTTGTCATCAAAATATCTGGAGATGCCATTTTTTAAGCAGTACAAAGTTTGAAATTTTTTGTCACTTAGAAAGTGCTGTAAGGATCGGAACAAATGAAAATCTGAAGGGGCGATATCAGGTGAATATGGAGGGTGGGGCAGCACCTCCCATCCCAATTCATTAATTTTTTCTAGCGTCCGTCGTGCACAGTGCGGCCTTGCATTGTCATGTTGAAGAATGACACCTTTTCTGTTGACAATAGCCGGGAAATTCTCAACTAGAGCTTGGTTCACTCGATCCAATTGTTGACAATAAAGGTCCGCATTAACAGTTTGTCCAGGAATAAGCACTTCAAAGTGGACAATTCCGCGGATGCTCCACCAAACACACAGGAGCGCCTTCTTGGGGTGTAATCCCGGCTTTGCAGTACTGCGTGCTGGTTCATTTGAGGAGAGCCACTGTCTTTTGCGTTTTGGATTATCGTATAGGACCCATTTTTCATCTCCAGTGACCAAACGATCAAGAAACGGTTCTGCATGGTGCCGTTGAATCAATGCATTGCACGTGGTTGATCTGTTGGCTTTGTTTTGCACTGACAAGTTATGGGGGACCCAAACACTTGCTCTGCTGATTTTTCCTATCTGGTGTAAATGTTCTTGGATGGTCAACCAAGGTTGGTTAAGGGTGTTCGACAATTCTTTGATGGTTTGGCATGGATTTGCTTCAACTTCTGCCCTTAGAACGTCGTTGTCTAATGACATTGGTCTTCCTGGTCGATGGGCGTCAGAAAGATCAAAATTCCCAGATCTAAACTTGGAAAACCATCTTTGGCATTTGCGAACATCTAATGAACCTGGGTAAACATCACTAATGTTCTTAGTCGCAACTGTAGCGTTATTACCCTTGCGAAATTCAAAAAGCATACAATGACGAATATGCACTTCCTGTATTTCGTATGCCATTTCACTTTTTTTCGTATGCCATTTTCACAATTTGCAAAGAAAACTATTTAATTTTAAATAATTTAGAAGTAAACAAGTCACACTAATATAAAAATAACCTGTGCACGTGTTCGAGATACACAATAAACTGGCCAACGATTATGGAATGTCAACATGCGCAAAAACGACATTACTTTCCGGTCAACCTAATACATCATATTTTTTTATTTATAGTGTCCTAATTTTCTATTTAGAATCATGACCTGAAGATTTAATCATTAAACTATTATCAGGTTAGAATGCTGAATGAATTTAATTATGAATGAATTGTTGAACATTCTGTTGGTGAACTTTCTGTTGGTGAATTTTTGTTACCTTTTCGAACATATACTTTAAAACCATCAAATGACATGTCTAAAAAATGATATGAAATTCAGTCCTTTTTTTCTTTAACAATTTTTTTCCTTTTTATTTTATATCCAATTTTTTTTTATCTAAATAGTTACATACCTAGATTTTGTACATACCTTTTTTTGTGTTATAGCACAAGTCATTATGATCCACTATATATAAGCCAGAAATATAATTTATATCTAATCACATGCCTTTTCAGGAGACGTGTGCGGTCGCACGCCTTGAATGACCACACATATTAACTTTTTTGTTGATAACATGACCACGATTTTTTTGCATTTATTAAAAATGACGCATTTTAAAAACGCGCTGAAAAAAACAAATTAATTGCTCATCTTTTTTTTATTATTATTAATAATTCATTATTATAGTTTATAATGAGAAAATAAAAACATTAAAATAATATATATGGGCGATTCCATTTTTAACTTACGTTACACGTGCAACAACTTTATCAAATATTTGGCAAGGTAAAAAAACAAATTCAACTTATAGGTCTCATTTCTGCGAATCAGTAAAGCAGTTTGTATTAGAAACTTTTACAAAATGCAGAGAATTCTATACCAATTTAAAATTTTTATAAAAACTTTTTTTAAATAAACTTGTTTTTTTGATACTGTATTTTTTACTTAAATTACATCACTAACATTATCGAGCGGTTACCATGATTTTTTTATCTATTATTAAGAGCTAGAACTATGTAACAAAAGAATTGCATAAGTATTAAACTCATTAAATATAATTAAACAAAGAAATTTTTATAAAACTAGTGGCACTCTTCCTGAGTGATTTTTCATAATATTCATGAAAGTTATCAAACCGGAAACTATTTTTTTGCAAGACCAAGAGCAACTTCAGAAAATTATTTTAGTTTTACATCCTTATTATTACTTAATTGAGTCATTGGTTTGTCGAAGTTTTTATTTACACTTCTTACATTTATGCGTATTGCTTTTTTTTTATAAGATTGAATTTTTAAAATGCTGCTAAGTTAAATTTTTAAATATTTAAATCTTAAAAAAATTTTAAATATTTAAAAAAACAATAAAATAAATAATTTTAATACACATAAAAAAAAAAAAGTTTTTTTTTAAAATTCTCCTTATATAAAAAGTTTCAGTTAAACCTTGTCAAGCCAACAGGAAGTAATAATAATTACTAAATGACGTAATTCATTTAGTAAACAAAAACTTAACGAAAAATCGCTAGAATTTTATTAAATGCATGAAAACAAAAAAAAATATATATATATATTTATATATATATATATATATATATATATATATATATATATATATATATATATATATATATATATATATATATATATATATATATATATATATATATATATATATATATATATATATGTATATATATATATATATATATATATATATATATATATATATATATATATATATATATATATATATATATATATATATATATATATATATATATGTATATATATATATCTGTATATATATATATATATATATATATATATATATATATATATATATATATATATATATATATATATATATATATATTATTTTTATCTTTTTATTTTATCATTAATTACAAATATATATATGTGAATTATTGTTAGGTTTTTATTTTCTCATAAACAATTACAATAATAAATTATTAATAATAAAAAAAACCCAATAAGATGACTATTTAGTTTGATTTTTTCAGCGCATTTTTAAAATGCTTCATTTTTAATAAATAAAAAAAAAATCGTGGCCATGTTATCAATAAAAAAATATATATGCGTGGTCATTCAAGGCCTGCGACCGCACGCGTCTCCTGAGAAGGCCTGAATCAATAACAAAGTTTTAAACAAATTATACTTAAATCTATTAGGTGTGCTATTTTACTATTAATTACCCTACATCATTATAACCTTTATTACCTTACATTATACTCTTAGAATCAACAGAAAGTATAGAAAATATTTGGTAAATAAATAAATTAAAACTATGGAGCTTAAAAAAATTGGCAATACAAATTAACACAAATTATGAATACTTTTATTTTGAAAAAAAGGCACATTACTTTGAAAAGATACGCAGAAGGATCAAACTTGATAAAGTCTGAAAATATTTAACAAAAATTACTATTACACAAAAACATAACAAAGTATACTGCAGTTTTACAACATTAAAAAAAGGTTTTATTAAAATTATACGATATAAGAAAATTTTTTAATATTTTTTACAAATATAGAAAGAAAAAGAAATATATAAAACTAAAATACAAAAATGAAAGTAAAAAATACTTGGCGAAGGTGTCCTACGACCAATAGATAACTTTTCTAAAGATGATGTCCGACTTCTTTTACCTAATGAAGATGTTTGACTTCTTCTATCTAATGAAGATGTTCGACTTCTAACTAAACCAGCTTTATCCTTGCTTAAATCTTGTAAATTTCTTATAAAATCTTTTTTATTGTTTTCAATAGAAATTTCTCTATGTTTTCTTGCAAGTAATGTAGCTTTATCATTGCGAAGTTTAGATGAGGAAGTACTAGCTGTTGACAAACGAGAACTAAATTAAAGAATTATAATTACATAATTATATAAAACTAAGTTAAATTATAAAAACAAAACTATGTTTCAAAATGCCCCAAAAAAAGTTATTTTAAATTTTTACAATATTTATTTAAAATTTATAGCTACAATCCTTAATTATAGAGAAAAAAAAAACAAATAGAACAAAGCCTGTTATTGCCAGTACAGGTAATTACATTTTAATTTTAAAATAAATATTTTTATAAATACATAAATATGAACTGCTAACTGTAGAAAGGCAACTAGTCCACAAAGTGTAAATTTTTTGGTGAAAGTTTTTTTTTTATCAATAAATGTAGTAACAGGACAAAAAACAAACTTATTTTCACTTTTTTTATTTCAAAAATATGAAAAAAAAAAATAGATTATAATTACATAAAATATAATATTATTAAATTCTTAAGAACTATATAACTCTTAAGTTATGGAGTGTTATTTCTTAACTGTTTTTTGGGGCCTAGGATTTTCTTCATTTTTGAAACTGAATCCTGTCAATTTATTAGCCATACGTATAGCATCTTTATTGGCACTGCCTATTTCATCGTCGTCATCAAGTTATTCTAAAACTAGTTGGTACTATCATTATACAGTCATCAAATGTCAACATGAATTGCCAGTTTTTAATATTGTCCACATCAGTTTTAATTAACAATAAATTGAATTAAAATAAATAATTTTATTTTGCTTTCTTTTTAATTTTAATTATTTTCTTCTTTTTTTTGACTAGTTGTCTAGTTTTGACAGTATTGCTCATTATCACTTTGCGTAGCATACTGAGCATACCATACTGAGCGTAGTACTTAAGTTTTTTTGGGAAATGACCCTGATGATTGAAATGACTCTATAAAATTTTTATTACAAATATTTATTTTAATTATAAACAATGAGTGGAATATTACAAACAATAAACCAAAGAAATCTTACATTTTACAAAATCTCAACCTTTTCAATGTAGCCATTTAAAATTTATATTTTCTTATTCTAATTTTCAATGAGTGTAAAATAGTATACTTTCCATTTTATAAATTAGCAGAAACAACTTCAAATCTTTTCATTTATAGATTGTATAAACAGAAACCAGAATTAAATAAGATATTAATGATATACTTTAAGTAAAAAACTTTGTATAAAATCAAACTTAATTTTAAAAAATATTTTTAAGAATGCCATATGGCCCCAGAATTGATGGGTCCCTAATATTATCCAAAAAAATTAAATGTCTAAAAAGAAAACATAAAAGTTTCTAAAATTAATAACTATTATAAAAATTAGTATTTTAGATTTTGCTGAAGAAATTATGGTTTTTTAACATAGAATAAAAAATTAAATTTTTACAATTTTTAAAATAATTTTTTAATGAAGATGTTCTTATAAAATATGACGATATTCTTTGAATGTTTTTATAATTTTCTTTTGAGACATGGTTATCGTATTTTTGTTTAACTTTTTTTTTAATGATAATATTAAAGACCCTTTAAACTCTGAAAATTTTACACTATAATGCACATTTAAAAGAATCCAGTCCTATAAAGTACTATCAAGACTTAAAAGGATAAAAAACTACTATTTTCAGTACTAGCCTAATATCTTTAATTTTTTTGTTTTTCTTTTTTTTAAACATCTTTGCTTCTAAAAAAGCTGCAAGCAACCACTATTAGAGCTGGAAGTTACTGGAAGAAAAAAGTTGAAGTTTATAGAGCATGATAATGATTGACAGACAACTTAAAAGATTGCAAAGTATATATGAATCAGCGAAGCAAGATGAAGGAAGTGAATTCCATAGTACTGATGTTCCAGGAAAAAAACTAGACAAATAAGAGTTTTTGGAGCACTTAGGCACAGTAACAAAAAAAGAATGAGACTTAATTAAATGATAAGTAAAACAAGAATAAATTTTAGTAAATGGCACAAGAGACGCTAGCTCTTTAGAGTAATGCCTGTCATAGTAATTGTAGAAAAGAGAAAGAGAAGCGACATTACAATGATGTGATAATAGTTAGATGTTGACAGCAAGAGCAGGTCTTACTATGTTTACAATGTATTTTTGCACCTTGTCTAAAAGAGAAAGGGCATCATTGAAAGATCTGCCCAAAATATGGCAACAGTATTCCATATAAGAACGGGTTTGAGATTTAAAGAAATAAAGAATAGAATCCAGAGTAAGAAAAAGTAAAAAACTATATTGATGATCAGAAAGATTCAAGATGAGAGATTAAGTTATTTTAATAAACAGCTTATATGTATTTTAGTAATTACTTAATTGCTTATAATTAATAATAAATTCAACACTGCTGTTACCCATTCGAGCATGTTTGACATGGCATATTTGAAAGAAGATTAAAACTCTGTAGTAATAAATAAATAGTTATTTTTAAATTAGTAAAGTTTTTAATTTTTAATTTTTTTTTAATTTATTTAATTAATGCATTTTGATAATATCACAATTCAAGTCCTTAGTCAATTTTATTTAACTCAACAAGATGCTATTTTCAAAGGTATATTAATTTGCATTTTTTATTTTTAAGAACTTGAAGAAGATGCTGTTTTCAAAGGCATTTTAATTTGTGTTTTATTTTTAAGAACTCAAAGATGATGCTCTTTTCAAAGGTCAAAATTTTGAACAACATCAAACTTTTGATAAAGTTGGTGTTAATTTCAAAAACCATTGTTTCTTACAAAGTCAACTCTATGTTGCATGTTTAAGAACAAGATTGTTTAATAGCTCATTTTTCAAAATTGATGAACATTCATTACAAGGTATATCATTTAATAACTGCTACACAAACAATACTGTATTAACAAATATACTTATCTATAAACAATTATTGTTTTACTATTAAACATAGCATTTTTTATAAATAATTAAATCAAATAAATTTTCTAATTGGAAACCAGTTGATGTTACTGAAAAACCCAGTTGTTGTTATTAAAAACACAGTTGCTATAGATTTTCTGATAGATTTTTAATAACATTAAAAATATCAAAATCTGTTTGCTTTTATGATATAACAAACCAGGTTGTTTGATCATTTGTTTTTCAAAGTTGATAAACATGCATTGCAAAGTATGTTATTGAACAAATATTGCATTAATAAGGTTACATTTATAAATGTTCCTTATTTATATATATTTTTTTATTTATATGTTTAAGTATTTTTATGTGTCATATGATATGTTATGTGTTTATGTGTTGAAACTATATGGGTTTACATTTTGTAAGTGTTTATGTGTCATAAATGTGTAAATACCTGTTATATTTAAAGTGTTTTTATGTGTGTTATGTGTAATACTGTTACGTATTTATGTTGTTTCAATAGCTTCAAAGTGTTGTGACTTGGCTTAGTTTACAGCTGAAGCTATAAAAAAAAATTAAAAATACAATAAAAGCAGTCAATCTATGTCACTCCCCTTACTGTTGGAACTTAGTGATCCTGTTGCTGTTGCAACAACTGTACTAGCTATAAAAATATATTAAATATACATATATTATATTGCTCTTAGCATCAGGTTCCTCTATCACAGAGAGTCTTCTATTGATAGTGCCAATATGGGGGAGATAACTCATCTTTTAAATAGAGGGTTTGTCTCCCATATTGCACCAGAGGAAGAGAGGATACTGGGAGGAGGACAAGAAGATATGGCACAAAAGTTATAAATGTCTTTGACTTTTAAATAAAGACATTTCTGACTTTTAAGTTGCTTTGCAACTGCTTCCCAACTGTATCTTTTTTTTTTAATATTTTTTACTTCATAAACTTTGGCTGTTTTTTAATTTTTCATAATAATTTTTATGCTATAAAGTCTATCTAACCCTTAGTAACTTTAAATATTTTAAAATTCCATTTGAACCTTTACTTATGGATTATGCTCCCAATAACTCCAGCATTCTCTAACAAGCTAATTTCTTAATCCCTAGGAGGTTTAAGTTATTGAGAGTTTACCGTAATAAGTTATGCTGTTTGTTAATTTTGTGATGTTATTGTGTTGTTTTGTGTTGATAGACAACTTAGCTTACCTTCACATCGGCGTCTATAGTTGAAAATGATTATTGGGTAGTTTCATTACTAAAACTGACTACAAATAATCATTTACTAAAAGCCAAGGATTCAGTATTCAAATAAAAACATAAAGATTTATCTTATTGTGATTACTTATTTTAAGTTTTGCTTTTTTAATAAGAGCTGTTAATCCAAACTTGCAACAATTAATCTTGAAACTTTCACAAAAGAAAAACAACCTTACAAATATAGTCACATTTTTGAGTTTTCAAATAAATAAATACATAACATAACACATTAATGTGTAATAAGTGTTTTCATTAATAACTTTGTTCTATTTTTAGGTCGACTTGCTTCTCTTATGACTGATTTTTAATAGTTAGAAGTAAATCAATTTGTTAAGTTTTTTAAAGAAAAGCTTCCATAAAAATTGTCAAACAGAGCTAACTTATTCAACATAACTAGGCCCCTTCGGTCTGTTTTCTGTGTCCATTTTTGTTTTTTAAGTAAATCTTAATGAGAGGGTTAAAGTTTTATTATAAGTTTCTAAAAACACCTGAAGAAATGTTACGCAACTGTCTTCAATGTTAAAGATTTTATTAAGACTTTTATTATGTAAAAAATATTGAAATAAATAAGTTTAGTTTTAAAGTATAGTAAATTAACTGTTAACCAAAAGATAATAACTTTAAATCAATTAATTTTTTTCTGTTTACTAAACTTTATTGAAGTATAGAGACATGACTTGAATCCTACAGGTCCTGACAGCTAGTACTGGTTTAATATCAGTTGTCAGATTTGTCAAGTTTTTTCAGTACCATAAACAAAATAAAACAATTTAAAATTTGTTCTTTACTCATTAAGGTGGTTCAAAAAACAAAATAAAAAAAATAAAAAATTGTAAAACAGTATGCTTTTTTTCTTGAAATTTTTGGATTAAGTTCATATAATTTGAAACCCAGTTTTCCCTATTCTCAGAAAAAAAAAAGGTTTGAGTTTTTAAATTATAACAACTAGCGTTAAACAAATAAATGGACTGCTATTATATAGAACACAAAAGAAAAAAGGAATTTTTTTATTTTTGTTGTTAATTACCTTAATAATGATGCTACAAATATTTTAATACCAACAGATTAATATATAAATGCATACAAAATCTTAACTACACACATAGGTTAGTCAAAACAGCCATGGTTGATCATTTTCGCTGGACCTGTGTCAAGCAATGTCTATTTACTAGGGGCTGTTTTAAACCCTGTACTGTTAAGTTTTATAATGCAACCTTAGCAACAGACAGACCTAATGACAGAGAAACAAATAAAAGTATCTTACCTTCGCTTTAAAGTAGCTAATTCCTCAGTTAAACTCTTACAGCGAATACGAAAATTGCGCTCTGTAGCTTTTAGTTCTTCAAACTAAAATATTAATTGAAATTCTATTTAAAAAAATAAACAAATAAATAACAATTACTCTTGAAAAAAACTGATCACACCACTGGCATAATATAATAACACAATGCTTGCATAACAAAACTAGCAAGGTTTACATCTGACATTTTTAAAGATCAACTTAATTTTTTTATACAAAACCTAATTAAATACTAATTTATAGAAATCAGAAATGTTACAATAGTCAACATACAAAAATGTGTTAAAGTTACATACACCATGTTAAGATGTTTTATCATGCTATACAATAAATAAGCAAAAAAAAAACAAGACATTTTTCAAAAATTTTTACAACTCTATTAACTCTAAAATAAGAACAAACAAGGGCCTGAAAAATCAGAAAACTGTTAATTTCAAACATTTTAACTCCAACAGTAGTAAAATTTGTGGGTAACTGATAGCAACAAGTTTATAGGTAGTCAAATAATTTATATATGTAATTTGACTAGCTCTCAAATTTATATGTATGGATAGAAGCCATAAATTATATAGCTTAATGTAAAATATACATATTATATATATATATACAATATATATACTATACACACACACACATATATATATATATATATATATATATATATATATATATATATATATTATATATATATATATATATATATATATATATATATATATATATATATATATATATATATATATATATATATATATATATATATATATATATATATATATATATATATATATATATATATATATATATATATATATATATATATAAAGAGAGATTATAGTTTACAGCTTTATAAATCAACATTTCTTTAGAAATAGCCCAAAACTCATCATTTGAACTGAGGAGATGTTTTTGGCAGAATCTTTAATTGATGTTTTTGCCAGAACCTTTAATTGCTACTTTAGGTTTGTATTTAAGTTAAAATAGATTATTGTACAGTGAAACACTTTCTAAATAAATTAAAAGTAATTTGGTTTCATTGGAAATAGTAAAAAAAACTTGACTGATTGATTGGGTATGTATACAATTAGTAAATTTCTGAATTGAATTTAAATTTGATATAGTTACAAGTTTACAAGATTGCTTTGCTTTCCCATTACAGCATGTTTATTTGAACTTTGTTGTTTTAGCCTGTAAAAATATAAGATTTACCTAAGATGTAATGAAAGTTAATTTTTGTCAACAAAGAACTTCTGCTGCTAGTTTGACTGATTTAAAAGCAGGAATAATTTCAGTTTGTTGTAATTTCATATATTATGAAAGTTTTTTAACAGCATTAAGCATTTTTAATCATAAAATCATCAATATTTTACAAAATTTGAATTTAAAAATTTTAATCATAAAAAAAAACTTGATATAAAACAAATTTTAAATAATTTGATAAGTTCAATTTATTTATTTTTTATACTGTTCTTTTTATGTAATATACTTTTTTATTTGACAAAAATTTTTTGTTTCATACCTGATTTTAGGTTACAAAACAACACATTTATTATGCAATAATTTTTTCTGTATTATACATAAATTGTAATTATCTACTGTTTTGTAGAAATAGATAATGTACATTGTATACCTTAGCCCTACTGCCACAAGAAAAAATTAAGAAAAAATTCAAGATTTATGTGTTATGATTAACACATAAATCTCTTAATCCAATAACTACAAAAATATCATTTTCATTAACATATAAAAAATTTCGTCACAAATGCGCCTCTGATAATCAATTTTACTTATCAAGATTCATTTTTGAGAGTTATACAGTTAAAAAAAAAAATTATTTTCAAACCTCTTCCAATAGCTGATCATACTCTTTTTTCTTTTTCATCATTATTCGTGAATGTTTGTTTCTCTCTGTCAGCAAATCGTTCTAAAATATATAATTAACCTGTAAAACAACATTACAGAAAGCCAAAATTAAATACAATTCAAAAATTATTGATACATAAAAACATTAAAAATATAAAAGAAACTTTGTTTATATAGTTAAACTCTTTTTAAATAAACTAAATTATGCATGAGATATTCACATAAATTATGCATGAGATAAGCAAAGATTATAAATTTTATAGGATTGTCTGTTCCTGAATAATTCAGTTTCTAGTAGTAGTACCTAACTATTAATAAGATTTTTAAATCCAAACATAAAGAGACAAATGATTTTAATTTTCAAACTTCGAGACTTTGTTGTTTTTTTTATTTTATTTTATAAAGATCAAAGATAACTTTTTATTCTTGTGGGTCATACTTTTATTTATTTCTGAAGTTGCTCAACTTCAGTTGCTCAACTTCAGTTGCTCAACTTCAGTTGCTCAACTTCAGTTGCTCAACTTCAGTTGCTCAACTTCAGTTGCTCAACTTCAGTTGCTCAACTTCAGTTGCTCAACTTCAGTTGCTCAACTTCAGTTGCTCAACTTCAGTTGCTCAACTTCAGTTGCTCAACTTCAGTTGCTCAACTTTAGTTGCTCAACTTCAGTTGCTTTACTTCAGTTGCTCAACATCAGTTGCTCAACTTGAAGTGCTTAACTTAAGTTGCTCAACTTGAGTTTTCTAACTTGAATTGCTCAACTTGAGTTTCCTAACTTGAATTGCTCAACTTGAGTTAGGTTCAATTATTTTCTGCAAAAAAAGGAGGCGCTTAAATATCTTTATATAAAGAATAGTTAGAATTGTTATCTAAATATTAATACTGTAAGATTTTAATGTTCAATGTCGTTTCGCTTTCGTTTTTAAAGCAGTTTTAATTAGTTACTAGGCTTTTCTGAACTTGAAACAGTGTGTTTTCAAAATGCACGCGGTTACTAGAGGAAGATCTTTCAAGCGAGTTGAAACTTTTTACCTTTGGAATTGAATTTTATTTATTAGTTTAGAAATATTACATAAAGAATCATATTAAGATAAATAATCATCGTTAAGATCATATTATAATTGAAGTAAGTGTAGAAATTAGTTTAGCAATTTATATATAACATTTTTATTAGAAATAAGGTAGGAACGAAATAAGGTAGAAACTTCTTTTAATTTTTTAAATCATTTACATTTTGTTTGTTTTAGTTTTTCTTTTGGCTTTTTTCTAGCGGTTTTGTTTTTATTGAGCATATCTTCTAGTTTTTAGAAGGAAGATAGCAGTATGGTTGAGGACTAATAATTTTTTATGCATTTTTAATGCAACAAAAAAGTTTTACTAATGCTATTTCAATAAAATTGGTTATTACTACCTTAAAATTTCTGTAATTCTATTAAATGTTTTTGCTCTTTTTTTAAAAAAAATAAATTAAAATTTTGTGCCAACACTGACATTTCACATGTTATTGTATGTAAGGATTAAATTTTTGTTATGAGGATTACAGTTCTTATGAAAAAAAAGGTAAAGAGTATTGTTTGTATATATTTATATTTTGTTTACTTTAAAACTTTTAAAATTTTCTCACGTCATTTTTAATATTTTGCACAATTGTTGCACAATTGCAAAATTGTTTGCACAATTCAAGTTATATATGTTTATTGTTTGCATTGCTTTTTTGATAATTATGTGTATATTGTAATATGTGCTTTATAGCTGTTTTATCAATGTGTTTTTATAATAATGTAACATGTTTTTTTATTGTTTGTGTATGTGTTAATATGTGTTATATGATTGTTTTATAAACGTGTTTAAATATGTGTATATAAAGTTAAACATATATATTGTGTTTATAGTTGGTTTATATGTTTATATTATGTTATTTCCGTGCTTTCAAAGTGCTATGACTTGGTAAACCTGTAAGGCAAGATTTGTCAACCTTGCCAGCCAAGTCATGTACTTTCTGCAGAGGGTTACACAGCAGTGTTTAATTTTAAACTGTTACTGCCTTAGGTCTAGGTGTTTTCAAGCCTTTATTAATAATTACTCTGAAAATACATAATAATGTATTTTAACAACATTTTGTGTAATTTTGTTACTTATGTTCTGTTATATATGAATGTTATGTTTCTTAAGTTATGTTATGTGCATATTATATGAACTTATGGTGAATGCTATTGTTGTTGCGATGTTGTTTTTTGTAATCTTTTAAGTTGATTTACATCTGGCTTACCTTCAAGTTGCTGTCTATTATTAAAAATTATACATAGGTAATTTCATTATTAGACCTCACTGCTTTTAATCTTTTAATTTTAAAATTTTTTTTTTTTAAAGAAATAATATTGAAATTTGCTAAAAAGGGTTTTACAACAATTTTTTTTTTTAATTTTTCTATATTAGGAGTTTTTATCTTATTATTTTTAATGCAAATATCTCTTTTTTATTATATTATTTTTTATTTCTTTAGATCTAAATTGGAGCAGTTACAGATTATATTGCTCCCAGCACCCAGGACCTCTTTCTGAGAGGTCCTTTAACAAATGGTGCAGTTATAATGGTATGGATGAGCCCTCTTTTAAATGGAGGCTTATCCATATAGAGGCTTATCCATATATAATTTTTAATATCTTCAATCAGTGAAGATAATTACAATTTTTTTGTTGCTGCTTTTTCCTTGGTGTTTTATTTTCATTAAAAACATATATATATTCTAAATAATGTTTGTTTTTATTTTTTTTAGTATTTGTTTAGATTATTATTTATAGTTTTTATTACTTTAATTTTTGATTCACTATATAACATGGCTATTATATTGCTTCAAATATATACCATATTAGTTAATCAGTTTTGAAAAATGTACTACAGCAGTTTATTAACTGCAACAAAAACCACATTTTTATTTGTAATATTTTTAAGGTATAATTTTAAACTAATTTGTTGATTTCCAGCAGATGTTTAAACAAAAAATAAACTTATAAATATAATATAAATAAAAAAATTAACCAATAGTAATAAAAAAAAATAATAACAAAAATTTTAATGATAAAGGATACTGTTAATACAAAAAATAGAAGACAAAAAAAATAATAAAAAGTAAAGTATTTGTAAACCCCTTTTAGTAAACTTCAATACAATTTCTATAAAAAAAATTGTATAAAAAACATGCAAATATTTTAACCTTCACAAACAATGACTGTTCAAAAGTTGTAGTTTAATTTATTTTTCTAAATTCGAAAGAAAAGTAAAAAATTTAACAGCATCACTGAAATGCCAATAATATAATAGGCAACATGACAAAGTTTATCAAAGATGTCTGTTTTCGTTTATTTTTTTATCAAAGATTACTTATCTTTGATTTTATTTTATATTAGTTATTACACATTAAAATTAAAAGTTTAAATTTGTTAAAGCTTTACATAAGTTAAAAAAAATCTTTTGATCGTTTTGAATTTAATAATTTAGTGTTTATAACTGCTTTTAACTTATGTAAAGCTTTAACAAATTTAATCTTTTAATTTTAATGTGTAATAAACTAATATAAAATATTGAAAAAAAATTCGAACTTAGGAAAATAAATTAAACTATAACTTTTGAACAGTCGTTGTTTGTGAAGATTAAAATATTTGCATGTTTTTTATACAATTTTTTTATAGAAATTTTTTTATAGAAATTTTATTGAAGTTTACTAAAAGGGGTTTACAAATACTTTACTTTTTATTATTTTTTTGTCTTCTATTTTTTGAATTAACAGTATCCTTTATCATTAAAATTTTTATTATTTTTTTTTTTATTACTATTGGTTAATTTTTTTATTTATATTATATTTATAAATTTATTTTTTGTTTAAACATCTTTTAACAGATATATTTATAAAAAATGTTTTTATAAAAAACTCACAATATTGTTGTATAATTTGGTTCATTTTAAATGAAAATTTCCTATGTAGTGTTTTAAAAATTATTCTTTGTGTGTGTGCAATTTAGAGTAGTAAAAAAAAAGATCACAATTTTCAAGATTCTTTCAAGATTTTTTGTTACTACTACCAATTAAAAGTGAAGTTCAAATGGATGATATAAGGTTATTAGTTTAGAAAATGATGGAAATGTTAATAGGCAAGTTGAAAATAATCGTCGCAGAAATGCAAGAAATAGGCTGAAACGAGATGAAATTAATAATGAACCAAATGAAAGAATGCATTGTATAGCAAGAAGTAATGTTATTCCAGATTATAATTATTTAGGAGATATGAATCAAATTTGTCAGCACTGCGGTGCTAAGAAATTTCCAGATAAAAAACATTTTCTATGTTGCCATAATGATAAGGTAACTTTGCCTCCACTTTTACCATTTACACAAGTTTTACAGAATTTATTTACAGAGAGTTATGTAGATCGTAATACTAATATTAATTTTTTAAAACATATTTGAAATTGTAATGCATGTCTTTCTTTTGCTTCTTTTAAAGCAGATGTAGTTCAACCAATAAATCATGGACCTCCATGTTTTAAAATATGTGGCCAGAATTATCATTGTGTAGGTAATCTTAGGCCATATCAAGATATTCCACCAATATATTCTCAACTATATATTTATGATCTTCTTGCAGCAGTAAATTTTAGAGTGCAACATTGTGGTAATGATCTTTGTTTACATGATTTAATGTTTCAATTGCAAATTATAATTACTGAACAAAGTCCATTTGCTCTTGCATTTAAAAATATGGCTGAAGTAGAAGATGAAGAAGTTCGTCCAGCAACTATAGAAGGTCGCTCAGTCTCAGTTGTAAAAATGTCTTTACTTTAAGGCACTGAGCCGCTATAATCAACCTTCACATGATGAAGTTGCTTTTGTATTTGTTGGTGAAGATGGTGTTCCCCCAACTTCCAGGGAAGTTGTTATTTACCCAAGAGGTCATCCTTTTAAAATTGTATCAAGTATGTCAGCCAAATTTGATCCTATGGTTTATCCTCTTTTTTTCCCAAGAGGTGATGCTGGTTAGCATAATCAGTTAATGAAAAGCCCTGAGT